GTATGTATGTATATACAGCTTAAGAGTCTTTGTGACTAGTTGTGGTAGGAGGTACATGCTTTAAAATAATTGACAGTCAGACATAGCAGTAAACAGTTTATAGTTCTTTTGGTGGTCGGAGTACTAAGGTAGCATCTGCTTACCAATTCTATCCAGCACGACGCTGTCCCAGTTCTTTTTAGCCAGAGTGAACTTCCTGTTGAGCTCAAGCTCAATAGTGTGATAAGCCCCCATCTGAAGAGCAAAAAAATACAACACAATCACAACTACTTTTCATTTCAAACACAAGTTAGCCTGCATCCCAGGGTTGGGTGGTACGTCAGATTAAATCGGTTAATTTCTGCTTTTGTGCAACATGACAAAGTCATAAAATCAGAGACCGTAAAAGACAGAAACATTGGTTCTTGAGACAGCTGTTGATGGGGGAGCTTTCTTGGTGAAAAGTAAACAGACAAACCTACGATGCTCTATAAAAGTAAAAAAAAAAAAACAATGTTCAACCTAAAAATCAGATAATGGATCTGGTGTCAAGAAGAAAACCACAGCAGAAAAGCAGCTGACATTAGTTGCTCCGTTTTGGTGTCACTTATTTTTTATAATTTTTTTGCCTGTCCCGTTTGGCTCTTTTGCCATCAGAATTATTGTCTGAAGGCAAAAAGAGAAGCCCAACAGAATTACTTTACCAAGTGGACCATCCCTGCCTTGCCGTATTGGTCCATTTGATTGACCTTTGTTGTTATTATCTATTTATTTTATTTTATTTTCAGTTGTTACAGACAGGACAGACATGACCGGGGGGAGGGAGGGAAACAAAGACAGCGGGGAAGAGGAATAGTGATGAAGGGCAAAGAAAGGAGAAAAGAAAAGGGGGGGGGGGGCAAAAAAAATTCATATCTCTCTATATATATCATCTGGATAATATATCATAATAATATATCATTATTATGCAGCATGTAAGATTTACAGCACACAGTGTTCTTTGAGATAGGAGCCAATAAGGGTGTATTTTGTGTCTGTGAGCACCTGTGTGTACACATGTGAGAATGAGCGCGCTTGTATTTAAAAGGTTCCTTCATGTAATGATCTGTTAGAGCAGGGGTGTCAAACTCAAATACACAGTGGGCCAAAATTCAAAACTGGAACAAAGTCGTGGGCTAACGCTAATATTTATTGAAATATATTTATTCCTCCAGATATAAGAATGAATCTTTTCTTATAGACTCAAACACGTTTTGCTGAAAAACTGAATATGGAACAAGCAAAGCTTAATACTAAACAATATATATATTAGCTGTATAATACCAGTAAGCCAGCTCTAATAGTAATTTGGTATGGCTTGGCCCGCGGGCCAGAGTTTGACACCTATGTGCTAGAGGGTGTGGGGAGCCACAGCCCCGACCTCCAGGGCATGAAACAGGTATGGAGGAGCTCAAGGCTCCAGACATCTCCAGACATTTTGGTGTCACTTATAATAAAAGACAGACAATGCTTTTTATGTCAGTCCTGACATAACCCCACTGACACAGTGGAACAACCAGTCTTCACTCAGATGCTGGAAAATAAGTATGGAGTCTGGTCTAAACCATTTTCCAAAGGCTGCATTGACTCCTGCTATTGCTAGCCAGCTGATCCTACTGTTCTTCGCTACAACGTGCAGAATATGTAAAAGGTGCCAATGATGTCGTTGTATTGTCCACAGACGGAGGGCAAGTGCATTTTTTTTTAATTTAAGACAGGTTCATATAGGAAACAGAAAATAAAAATAGTAAATATTTCACCCAGCCCATTAATAAGAGTGTTTATAAAACTCAGACCTTGACATATTGGTTCTCCTCTATGTTAGTTCCCTTTACTCTCAGCTGGCAGGCCTGGGTGTCGAAGTCGATAGTCTCCACACACAACGTCAGAGTAGTTCGGACTCTCGAGCTGCCCACGCTTCCTGTAGGGGACTCGGTCTGCACCTTTCTGTGGGAAAACGACAGAAGCCGAAGCTTTAATTGCTACACTGATGATGAGCTGTGTATTTTTCAGAACAAAACACTAAGGTAGAAGAGTAATGCTGAAAGCTATAACAATCCTTGAATAACACAGAATGACTATAATAAACACAACTTCACGCCGGTGTCAGAGCATCGCTCCACACACTGAGTCACAAAGAGGCATAAACTTGAGTTACAGCTACATCAATGCTGCCCGAGGGATGTGGGTGTTTTTTTGTTTGTTTGTTTGTTTGTTTGCTTGAACATTGTGGTATATCAACTACAATCATCCCACCAACACTGAATGGAATACCGATACAAATACTCAAAAATGGAAACTTGCACTGCAGATATAACTAGAACTTTTATTAAAGATTATAGGTGGAGGGGAAAAATTGACGTGGTGATATTGTATTGTTACACGAAGACTAAATATGATATTTTATTGAATAAATTCCGATACTCTAGGAATACTACAAACAAGAGGCCTGATCCCATGCACCACCATGCTGAGACAATGTTAGCTTAGTCTGACCGAGTGACTTACTATCATAATGGAGGACGTGTGGTCTAATTAATATCTACCTTAATTAGATAATATCAAAATTCATACAATAATCAGGATACATGAATACCATATATTTCTAAAGTATTTCTACAAAGCAGTCTTGTACACACAACCTTTCTTTTGCAACTTAATTGTTACAGTGAGTGTCTAATCTTTAACTTGTTTTGCCAGCATATTTTACAAACCCATGAAATGAAGAAAAAAATGAAGAAATCTGCATTATTACAGGGCTTCACCTGTGTCTTTGTGTAATATATTGATTATTACCTGATAGTCGAGGCTCTTAAGCTGTCCCCCACTTGGAGCAGGTTGTAGGTATGCCACATATCCTCCGCCTCCTCGGGCACCAGAGTCACCTGACTGAATTAAGCGTTGGTGATCAATAAGACAGGATCTGCACTCGTGTGGTTTTGGTATACAATTTTTTTTAAAATAGATATGCTCCCAATTTAAGATGTGAAGGTGGTAAAATGGCACAGGAATTCCCAAAGTACATAGTGTGTATTACTATATTTATTTACACAAGTTTGTTTGGTTTACTCCCTAAGGTGTGGTTTGTCAATTCAGTCTGTAAAGCTAAAGCTAAACCAGAAGTTGTAACATGTTAGTAAAGGTTCAGTTTTAACACATATTAAGACAAAATGGTCGGTTGGCTTATTAATACAAAACCCACACCTCTCCCGTTCTCTGAGTGTACACGGGAATGCAACTCACTACACTGACACATGTATAGTCAGCTACAACACAGCAAGCTGGTTAGCCTACTAGCATTAGCCATCAGCGCTCACTCACCCGGCATTATCTTTCTCAATATCTTTATGGAGCAACTTCATGGTTGGATGATTGTATGATACAAACCGAATTATTAGTGTAAAATATATAGGTTAGCAGCTGTCCGGCTAAGGGACATGTTTATCTCTTAGTGAAATAACAAATTAGCCAAGCCATCTCCCAACTTTACAATGAATCACTCGCTGCGTGTTGCCAGGCGCTGGGACATTGCGTCAGCGCCCAAATACGTCGCCTGTTCTTCCAATCATGGTCACTTCCGTGGGAGTAGCTTTTGCTGCGCAACAAATACGAAACGAATACAAACACACTGTTTGATTAAATGCGAAAAATGTGCTTTTTTTCTTGTCTTCACTCATAAAGTCTTTAATTTACAGTAGCCTAAGCGTAACATAATCAAGAAACAGTGCCCTTTTTTTACAAATTAGTTTGAGATAAGTAAATGCTGATAGACACGGAAAACAACCAATCAAGGAGTAGATAGGATGTCACAAACGCCGCCTATTTTTAAAGCTAACCAATGGGGGCACGACAGCGGTCAGCCCACTTCCGTTCAACACCGCTTTGAGCTAACGCTCGTCCAGCAGCTTTTTTTGTCGATGGCATGGTGCTAGTAGCTGCCGCACAATAACGTAGTCGAGAAAATACGAATAGACTAAACGAAATTCGGATGCCTAAATGGAATTAGTCGATTAATGTGATTTCCGAAGTACATGACAGCCATCACATCGTTAACATTTCAAAATCTCGCCTCAAATTTTGAGGTAGCCGATTCTTCCCCAAGGTTAGCTAGCTAGCGGGCTAACGATAGCCGATTAACACTAAACTAGTTCAGGTAACTATAATTGGGCAACCAGTTAATACCCAGTACCTCTTGAATTCGTAGAAGTTATTAGAAGTCGGCCGGAACAGGGGCAGAACATGGCAGAAGCCGACAAGTTGAACATCGACTCCATTATACAGCGTCTCCTCGAAGGTAAGACCAAGTATTTCGCTCGATATTTATTCAAAGAGGTAGCCATTTTAGCCAACTGCGGCTAGGGAACGGTAGCCGCCAACACCGTAAAAACAAGTTCAGTTCATCCGGCGCTTCTTGCAAAGAAAGCATAGCACTTAAATACTCAGTAAATTTAATTTGTTTGAATGTTGTCTTCGGAAATTGAATACAAAAGAGAGACGGGTTGAATATATATTTTTGAACACAGTTATATATTCGCACAATTTGTATTGTGAGAGTTGGTCTCGTTAAACTTGCATTGAAACATACTATGATGCAGAAATATGCGTCATTTTATACTTGTGCAGACATCGTTTGGGTACACACTGAAGTGGTTATACGGTTAAATTTAAAAGGTCACTCCTGTATGCTAGCAGGGTGAGGTCATTTTATTTTGTTACTTGTAATCACATTTTTATTTTTATTGTTTTGTAGGACAGAGAGCAAATGCTCCATAACACCAGTAAAATCATCCAGGGTGCTACTGAGTCTTGATTTGTTAACTATCACTGTTCACTATATATAGGTCGACCTCTGGATGCCTCTGAAAATGTCTTTGTCTTTATGTTTGGTTTGGCTGTATTTGGAGCCATACAAGATTCTTCACGAAAAAGTGTGACATTTGCAGATTATGATTATAAATGAGTGCTCTGATTACCACTGTAAAATGTGTAATCCACAGATTTGTTCTCCTTTATTTTGAGATATCTTATTCTAATTATGTTGCTTCTAATCAAGAACATAGCAGATTCACTGCTACAGTGTGCACAAAATGAAATGAGCCAACTGTCCATGGCAGTATGCCCTACAAATTACACTTTAAGCTGCATTTATGCAGAGAGAAATGAGAATAATCACCCAATAGCCACTTGCAATAATTTACCCCTTTCTTATTAAAAACAGTGTAAGAATTTGCTGTTGTTTTCTGACTCATTTTTTCCCCTTACAGTGAAAGGCTCCAGACCTGGCAAAAATGTTCAGCTGACAGAGAATGAAATCCGTGGTCTTTGCCTCAAATCCCGGGAGATCTTCCTCAGCCAGCCAATCCTGCTTGAACTTGAGGCGCCCCTCAAGATTTGTGGTGAGGCTTAAGTGGCGTTCTTTGGAGTCGAGGGAATTCTCGAGGGTGGTCAAACAACATAGCAAGCTGTTGAAGCTTAGAGTGCTGGACCATTATGAGTCAGCTTATGTGCATACTATGCTCTAGTATTCACATGACCAAATGCTAAGTTATTATAGTTAATTAAAAACAGACTGGCTCTAAAAAAAAAAAAAGAAAAGAAAAAGTGTTTAATTCTTCATGGCTGTAATCTTGCCACATAAACAACTCACGGGATAAAGGGGTACTGACTTGCTGGTTCAATTCTGTTTTGTACTTCAAGTTTCCCTGGAGTTTTCCTGCCGTACCTTAACGTTGACTGACTGCGTTGAATGTTAGTTTAAGGAACAGGTTTCAGGAACTGGAACAGTCTGTACTGCAGTAGAAATCATAAGCATCCTTGTACTAAATGCAACCTCATAACAAAACGCACACATAAGGTAACTCTGTAATAAGTGTTTATTTAAAATAACACTTTGTCAGTCATGGTATAAAGTGCTAATCTTCAAGGTCTCTAGTCATGTTGTACCTCCATCCAACTCCCTCAGCCTTTGTTGTGCACATATACTGAGCACGATAATCACACCTTTGAACAACATTGCTGTTTCCACTCTAACACTGCTTGTTTCTCTAGGTGATGTTCATGGGCAGTACTATGATCTGCTCAGGCTGTTTGAATATGGAGGCTTTCCACCAGAGAGCAACTACCTGTTCCTGGGCGACTACGTAGACAGAGGCAAGCAGTCCCTGGAGACCATCTGTCTGTTGCTGGCTTACAAGATCAAATACCCAGAAAACTTCTTTCTGCTGAGAGGAAACCACGAGTGCGCCTCTATTAACAGAATATACGGCTTCTACGATGAGTGTAAGTCATGATATATGCACACAGATACAGACAGTAATTTGGAAAGTTGTGCGACTGCTCTCTGTGGTTACCAGTTGAATAGAAAAGTGTAGGCCAACACAGCAGACCTCGGTGTGGTCAAGAGGACACCTTGGTTTTTCTTTTTTGTTTGTTGATACCGAAACTGTAAAAAGAGGAAACGCGTGTACACAACATCAAACTTATCATATATAGAAATATATAAAATATAAATAGATGTAGGGTGAGAGAAATGGCTGTATATGTGTCTATATCTTAATACATCAAAAGCTAAATACAATAGAAATGAAAAATAGGAAAGTGTTTCAGCAGCAAAGTGACAGGCAGGTGCAGATTTACACATAAGGAGGAAAAAACAAAAGAAACACCAAGTAATTAGTGAAGTAATGTTTATCAGCACTTGCAACAGGTGTGGTGGTTACAGTTTCTTTTTATTATTTTTTTAATTGCGATTAAGAAAATATGCCTGACACTTTGAAATCTGTCTGTAGATTATTAACTAATTAAGTATTCCTAGATTAACAGTGTACACAAGATATCTATTCCCTTGTGAGTTCCTTTAAATTGATGGTGAAACATGGGCAACACTCAGTACTCCGGGCTTCAGGCTAAGGAGCATGATCGGGCAGTAGGAACAGTGATTCAGTCACATGCTTTTTGTTCTATTTAGAGCTCAGCTTATGTAAAATGTGTTTTCAGCTTGAAACAAGTGGCGCTGCTGATTTTATAGCTCTTATGATGAGATTGTGACAGAGTAATTGTAATTTCCTCCCACAGGTAAAAGGCGATACAACATAAAACTGTGGAAGACCTTCACTGACTGCTTCAACTGTTTGCCTGTAGCAGCCATTGTTGATGAGAAGATCTTCTGTTGCCATGGAGGTATCCTCTTCAAACAGTTAATTTGGTTTCTATCCAGAGCGAACACACAAAGACTAGACTCCGCTCTGTTGTATCTGTCAACATATAATGGTCATGGTCTAGCAGGGACCATCTTAATTTGTTAGACTAATTCAATTTTATTTATATAGCACCAAATCACAACAACAGTCGCCTCAAGGCGCATTATATTGCACAGTAGATCATACAATAATAGACACAGAGAAAAACCCAACAATCATATGACCCCCTATGAGCAAGCACTTTGGCAACAGTGGGAAGGAAAAACTCCTTTTTAACAGGAAGAAACCTCCAACAGAACCAGGCTCAGGGAGGGTCGGCCATCTGCTGCCACCGGTTGGGGTGACGGTGTTTGTAATTCCTTCTCCTGGATCAGTACACAGATATAGCTAAAAACAGGTACAGCTTTAACAGACTGTCACTTAATACATCAATCCCTTTTGTAATAAGCGTGTACCGTGCAAAGGTCTTGAGCCACCCGTCATTTCTTTATATTTTGCATTAAAGGAGCCAGGATGTCCTGTGCTTTATAAAGTGGTCTTGAGAAACAGTTCTCCAGGCTTTGACAGTCTTTCAAAGTTTTTCTTTGGACACTTGCTGCTTCTTCACTCATTTTCAGTCCAGTCATTGTACCTGATCAATGTCAGAATTATTATTATTTATTAACACTATTATTTATTTATTTATTTAACAAACCTATTTATAATTCAAGCATTAAGAAAAAGAACCTAACTCAAGGGATTAATCAAAGTATTTTTTTCACCGAAAAGATGATTCCCAAAGAGCTTTTGGATAAAAACTTTGTACATCTTGGGATGGTGTGCAGTGTCTTTTAAAACTTTATTTCTACCACTCTTTTTTTTTTTTTAAATCATTTACCAAATGTTATTGATTAATTCAAGCACTTCTTTGTAATCTGTTTGCTGTCATATTTATGTTCAAAATGTGGGGGAAAAAAAAGTTAAACACATTCTGACACTAGACATTTTCTTAAAACTTCGTATGAAACATTTTCTTATGGATGATTATCATGATGTGATACAGTTCTTAGTTATTACTGCAGTTTATTTTCTTAAACATCCAGACATCTTAGACACTAAATAATTCTTAATCTGTCAGGACCTGTCAACAGGTCCTCAAAGTCAGTGGTAAGGAAGTGCCGTGTGCTGCGCTAACACCCAAGTTGAGCAGCCAGCGAAAAACCGCTGCAGTCTGCTTGTACTGCGTAATCTTTTGTGGCCACTCAAGGTTCTGCATTTCCCCGCTCCCTGTCATTCTACATTTCTGTACCCCCAGTGTACGTTTCATCGTGGCACATGCAAGCTCTCCCCGGTCAGTGCTCTTAGTCGACACA